GTGTGAAGTTTTTGCTTTATTCAGTTCACCTTCTGCAACCTTGATGGTAGTTGATGAAGTCTGCTTTGGAAACAGACCTAAAACCCTCAAAATCTCACACATAACTGAGCACTTACAACCTCTCAGAAGGGCATTTTGTGCAACAGTGAGACCAGCATCCCCATCCTCATACATGGACAGATGTCCAAAGAAATGTAAGTTCACAATGACATGGAGATTTCCATTTTGTGCATCAGTTTTTCCTTCATTGAAAAGGATGTCTCCCATTAAAAAAGCTGCACCGCTCAAGTAACGTTTACGACACTGGTCCCTCCTGCACTGCTGGCTGGAAACCACAGCTGTGTGTCATGAGCAGCACGAAGGGCATGAACCCACTTCGAAGCATCCCCAAATTACAGGCGATGGTGAGGAAATAGCAAAGTGCTAATTGTGAGATGTCTTTGTTTAAATGTGCTGATAGCTGAAGGGGCTAATGCACTGGCTGCCTCTGGCACTGCAGAGATAGCTGTCTTCCTGGCTCGGAGATCACAGCGTTCTGAAATGCCCTTCCTTCCTATGGAGATGAAAGGCAGCCTGGATGCACAGCTAATTTATCAAGCATACAGTGCTCAAATATAGCTGATTTATCTCCTTCTAAGTGTTTTGCTTTTCCCATCACTCAGCTTAACAAGATAATGCCGGTGGACAAGGGGATGCTGTGGTAGGTGGAAGAAAGCATTCAGTTATCCAATGTGAATAATTCCTAAGCACACCCCATTTCTGTCCACAGATCCAAAGCTAGTTTTTCTAAAATATCTTGGAAACCAATAGGATTAAACTTGAAACATTTCAGGGCTTAGTAAACCCCCATAGGACGTGTCTGATTTTGTTTTCCTGCCATGTGCCTTCATCTCCCACCTTGATGCCAGTGTGGCTTCTGCTGGTGCACACAGAGGCAACAGGAGGACACTGAAGCATGTGTGTGTGCATAAAAGCAGATATGGATCAATGCATCAGGCTACAGCACACAAGTGCCACATTTCTTTGGCCTCCTGGGTGCTGTGCATTGCACAGCTGAAAGCCCTTACTTTTGACTCATTGCTGTTGCATCACATACAGCAGTCAAAGTGGATTTTATTTCATAGCGGCTGCTAGGAACGTGCAACTGGCAACTTTGCACCCCAGTGATAAGTGTGCTTGCTTGTCTGTGTGTCCAAACCCTTACAACAATTGCATTCACAATGTTACACAGGTGCCATTGCACAGCATTCCATACGAAGTCTGCACACATCTGTAACCCATCTATCCAAGTAAATTAGCGTTCCTAACCAAACGCGTGTTAGAATAAAAAATAAACACACTGCTCATAACAAAGAAAAACAGTCATGAACAATATAACATCTTGCTCTACACCTGATAGACATCAGGAATAAAGAGCAGTCTGCAACTTTTCCCTTTCTAGCAATCTTTTACACCTTGAAGATGGCTCAGGACTGAACACAGAACCCCGAGAGAGGTTTTGTCAACGATAAGCAGAATGGAAGAATTCCCTCATCAATGTTTCATGCTAATATACACAACCATGACAACTGCTCTTGTACTTGTTTGAACAATTACCTATGCCTAAGTGGGGTATCTTGTCCCTCCTAAGTTTCTCTCTTACTTTTTCAGTCTCCGTCTCCAATTTGTAAAGATAATTTTAGGTTCTAACACTGTCCTCCAAAGAAAAATGTCTTTCATGCCCATTTAATCTTGGTGTTCTCTCAGTATTTAGGTCTGTTGCCTCAGGAGGCCACTTAGTACATCCCCCCGTTTGAGTGCAAGCCATTTTTACTACTTGTTTTCTGAGTAAATATTTCCAATCCATTTTTGCCCACTGCTGTGTATTTTCATCTAGACTATCATCCTTTGGTTTCCCTGTGAAAATGGCGAATTCTGGCATATGCCAGACAGACTGCTTCTCCCCCTCCCTTAAAACTCTTTTGGTTTCTTATTAAGGGGAATAACTTCTGGAATCTGAATGGTAATAGAACACAAGCAGCTGGTATTGTTCTTTTTTAATATAATCTCTACAGCTGACCATGAACATTAAAGTCATTATGAGATATATCCCAGGGAATTACTAGGGAACTTCCAGTCAAAAAGATTCTGACAGAAATGGAAAATAACCAACACCCCAAACCAAAATATATCCAGTTGTAGACTTCTGTAGACCTTAAATGATGCCCTGAGAGTGCTTTTGTCTCATGCTGTTCTCATGCAAGTCAGAGAGGACAGACTGATTGAATTACCAGGTCAAAAGAGGCAAGTAGTGGTCCCTTGAACTACCAGATCCCTGTACCATGGTGTTGTCCCCTTTTGGACACACACCACCTTTCTGACTCACCACAGGCAAGATACCCTTTTGCATCTGGTCCCTATTAGATAGTAGGCGTTAGAAGGAGGTGAAGTCTGCTACGTCTTCTTATTTGGAGTGTTCGTTGCTTGGTAGTACAAACAGTGGGCTATTAAAAGAGCCAAATGCTGATATTTCCACAGCGCTTGTAACATGAGCTCCAGTTTGCTTCAGTTTGGTTACAGTGGTTTACACACAGAGCCACATGCATTTAAATATAATGTTTATTAAACTTACTGAAGTTTATTCTGAGGTATGACTGGAACCCAGTTTATTCTGGCTGGATCAGAGAGCCTGTGTCAGGTTTGGAAGTGCGATGTCCTGCCATGTGCCCCAGCTCTGCTACCATCTGCTGAGAATTAGCAGCCCAGCTTATTTTATTGTGCTTGGCCCAGCCAGTGACCTTGAGCATGATTGCTCTTAAAGACATTATAGGAACCTTCAAAAAAGGGGAAGAAATATCAACTGTCGGAGCCTAATTACAGCCCACGGTGTATTTCCTTCATTTCTTGGATGCCTGACATACGTACAGCATCTATGCACCTGTATTTTGGCTGGCAAGAACCTCTTCTTCTTCCTACACACCAATAATCTGCTGGCATGCCTGTCTGATCAAGGTGCACCCCAGCAAATCTGTGTAAAATGCCTCTCTCCCCCTCTCCATGGCTCCAAAAGCAAAGCCAAGCTTTCTATGGGATATGGGCTAAGCTAGAATGGGAGCCAAAACCTTGCAACATTTTCCAAAGGGTATCTAGATGTAGTGCCCAACTGGAAAATGGCCCTTTGTGTAGATTTGCTGAGTAAAGAGATTGCATTGGGATGTGCAAAGCACATAAAATTTTGATTATTGCATTATGATATGGGAGGCATATATTCCACGGTAGAAATCCACAGGCAATTGCTAACTTGTAATTGGACCTATGCAGCATATAGAATATTTCCACCTGAAGAGATTCATTGGCCTTACTTCCTGCAGCTACAGGAACATCCCTCATGTTTTTTTTCTGATTCCTGTAGGTTCCTGCCCTGCTTTCTCAGTTAACTTTGGAGGGAGATTATTTCCCAAGAGTGGGATTTACCTCTAGGTGGCTACATGTAGGTATCTACAGTGAGCTAAGGACTCAGACAAGTTGCCCATCCATCTGTGTTCAGCTCCATTTGAGATGCTAAAGGGTTTTCTTCCTGGGCCATGAATGTCTTACAGGGCAGATCTAATTGACGTGGTTCTGAATGAGCAATTCAGATGATATACCTAAAGCGTGGGCAGCTAACATAGTTCTGTGCTCATCTTTGCTCTGTGAGACCTGACACTTGCAGCAGCACAACCAGAGGAGAAACTTTCACTGCAATCTGTCATAGAAATGCTGGTCCCTCCAAAAGGCTGGAGGAGCTCTGTGCTCCCACAGGTCTCTCAGATAATATATATAGTTTCTTCTTGTGCTTTGTTAGCATGAAAGGTTCAATAAAGCTCGAGCTAGAAAGTACAATCCTGGATCTTGGTGCTCCTGCCTCCTTTATAAAGGTTATACAAAAAAAGACATGGGGTACATTGCCCTTCTGCAAACACTGCTAATTGCCAGTATCTATCAGCTGGAGATAGCTGACATGTTCTGTCAGGAGAGATTGCTTCAGCAGCACAAAACAAACCACTCCTGCTCTTGTTAAAGCACGCAATTTTCTTGTCAAGTGTTTTGTCACTGTCATTGCCTTACAAGCAGAGCTGCCTCTGTTTGCCCAGCTTTACTGCCTCCATGTCAAGAAAAGTCCTGAAGAAGGGATGTGGGGTAGGATTCCTACAGGAGAGTTCCTAAATCCAAGGAATAGCAAGTGACAACCTTTGCAGTACACCTCTTCTCACAGTCCTGGGGTGAAGGAAGAGAGCCCAGTCCTCCATTCGATCTGGAGGACTAAGCCCTGCTTTGCCAGTGCTACCTCATGCACTGTTTTAAAGCCAAATCCACAGAAATGCCCCAGTTCCCATTGCCTCTGGGACCCTTTGTGTATCACGGCCTCATTTCCTCCAGTTCTCTGCTGGGGTTTTCCTTCCAGTTTTACACCAGAACTGCTTTTCCCTGTTCTCCTCTATTATAATGCTAACAGGCTGGCGGGGAAAGCAGAGGGCTTTGCCAGCAAGGCAAGGACAGCCAGCACTGCCCCTGCACACCAGACCCAAAAGCACTGCAGAGGGGCTGGTTTCCATGCTTCAGCACAACTATACCGAGGTGACGGATGCTTCTGCCACTATCAGCACAAGCTGGTGCTCAAGAAAAACCAATCTCCCCCCAAAAACAGGTAACACAATGTTTCATAGGGTCTGGGGAAGGAATGGGTGAGGAAGGTTTCTCCTGTCCTTGTGTTCTCCAAGTGCCAGTTTGAGCTTCATCGCATTCATCAGGAAGTCGTAGAAACAATGGGAAATAATGGGAGTCACGGACTGTGGACTAAAAGTCCTTGAAATAATGGGAGTCCCGGAGCATGGACAGCAGCTGGGGCACCCTGGGAAGGAGATGACTCAGTCACAAAGGGCTTTTGATTATGAACAAAGTACCCAGGACGAAGCATTTCCAGGTCCACAAGGTGCAAATCTCATAGTTAATCCCAAATGACAAACCACCAGTGAGTGCCTGCAGCACGCTGGCTCCCCAGCCCTGCATGGCAGCTATTGCCAGGTTCAGGGGCAGCAGGACCCTGCCCTGAATGAGAAAACCTCTCAGAGGACTCAACTGTCTCATGAATCAGGGCTTTTTCCCTTTTCCTTTTCTTGTTTAATCTCAATTCACAGCTCTCCACCGCCTCAGAGCTGAGCCGACCTTGCCCCAGGCCGCATCTCAAGCCGGTGGGGTAACATGGGCTGCAAGGCTGGGAAGACAGAGCTGCCAAGCATCCTTTGGAAGCAGCCCTTGTCGGTTTTCCTTTTCAAGCTCTTTTGTTGAAAACCCTTAAAGTAACCAGAAAAAAGGCTCTTTCTCACGACAGCCTGGGAGATCTGGGAGCTCAGCCCATGGGTGCCAGCAGGATGCTGGAGGGGGTCACCACTGCCCATGGCAGGTCCATGGGCAAGGACCAGTCCTGAGCAGGGGGAGAGCTGGCATGGCGAACATCTCAGCGCCTACCCAAAGGATTCAGTCTTCCTTTTTTAACATCTCTTGCTCCAGGCTAAGAACATGTGTCTTGTCACCCTTGTACTGAACAGCAGGACTTGCAAGGATAGGACCAAGTGTTTCCTGTGTTTAACACCTTCCCTGCCTAACTACAATAGGTGGTTTACACTGGTATCCCCGGAAGCCTAATGCTTGACAGCATTGTTACTAGAGCAGTTGGATGAGAAGAAGGGCAACTCACACTACCCTGCTGCAAAATGATCTGGTGTTCAAGGTCTGTCTGTTCTGCTCTCTGTCTTTTAATGTTAAAAAATTCACTTTTTCTTTCTTAAGCTCAAACAATGCTAAATGATAAGTTTAATAATGGCAGCTAAAAATGCTGTGTGAAACTGCTTCAAGTCCCAGATTGTAACAGCTGCTGGAATAGGACTCTCCCAGACCTGTGAGATCAACTACTGTAGGATGCACAGGCTCAAACTGAGCTCCTTAAACCATCCCAGCTCCATCTGCAGACATCATGACCGAATTTAAATCATCCACAGCCTTTCAGGTTAGAAGCCAGCCAGCCTCCATCTGCCACCAACCAAGGTGGCACTTCAAAAGATCCCGGTGGCAAGAAAATGAATTCAGGCCTCTGAATTATTTTATGATGATGTTGTGCCCCTTTACAAAACCAAGTAATCAAAATCATGAATTTGCTATAACTTTGGGGAAGTTGAAAGCACTGTTCAGACACAGAAGCAGCAAGCATAGAACCATAGAATAGTTATGGTTGGAAAGAACCTTAAAATCATCCAGTTCCTACCCCCCTCTCATGGGCAGGGACACCTCACCCTAGACCATGTCACCCAAAGACTGTCCATCCTGGCCTTGAACACTGCCAGGGATGGAGCATTCACCACTTCTTTGGGCTGTGTTAAATTCTACATTGATTAGAAATAATATAGGAGAAGTATTTGCCTTTACAAGCAATAAAGGCACTGTGTAAAGCAAACCGCCTCTGCACTGATAAATGACAGTGTAGCCTGATGCCAGAACAAGAGGCAGTGAGCTACATCCCTTTCTGTGTTGCATAGATATAGAGGCCACTCTGCCAAGATTTCTTTTGGTTTTGGGGTAGTTAGTGAGGGTAGAGAAAAACCCAGCTGTAATAAATGAGTTGTTACAACCTGCCCTTTCTGCTCCAGCGATTTCCTGTGTTTGTAAACAGGAAACACCATGCAGCTTGGCAAGGACAAGATGTGATAATGCTGAAGAGTGCTCAGACAGTGAACTGTGAAACTGTGGTGGTGTCTGCTGAGGAAAACCTACAAGCTATCAAGAAAGGTGCTGGATGTTTCACAATACAATCTATCAACTATCCAAGCTAAATGCTTATATTTATAGGGTTTTTTCCCTTGTAATTCCATGCCATCTAAGCCTTACAGTAGGCCACCTGGCCAGTGTGAGCATACAGGTTAATTTCTAGGTAATATATTATTCTATATAATAAAAACAAGTTGTCTGGTTGTTTTTAGTGAAGCTGTCTAAACCTATTCCCATGGGCTCCCCACCTCCCAGGGAGAAGTTGCAATCTGCTCTGTTTCATCATCACTTTTGTGACATTTCCGACTGAGAGGAGTGACACTGAGACAATTTCCAGACGTGGTTATTTGTTCTCCTTGACCTGAATGACTTCTGTTTTCTAAGCCATTTGCAGTGTCAGTCCTGGGACTTGATACTTTAACTTCTCCAGTTGAGGATTAAAATGTTGTATCTCTACTTCAGGCTCCTTATTAATTTTCTGGAGGCAGTTACAATGGAGCTGTTCCAAGGATTTGTTCACTACCAACACTTAATTCTGCAAATCAGGCCAATTTCATCAATTTCACATAACCTGATAAGCCGGTTTAGAACAAGCTAAAAACCTTTCCCTGGCCATCAAACCCTGATTCTGCGTAGATTGTTTAACAGTAATAACTACTCCTTAGGTTTGCCTTTTCCCCCCATACCTAAGGAAGATTTAACACACTCTGTTCCCAAGTGTGCCTTCGACCTGCAGAAGCAGACTGAGAACAGCCTGCAGCTTCAAATATTTCCCTCCTTTGAATTGTTTCCATTGTTTCTTTGTCAGTTCCCCTCCCAAAGTAAACAGTTCCATGAAAATTTAAGCAATCTTAAATGTGTTGCTTGCAATGACCTAATGCCTTACAAACAGATGAACCCAGAACTCATTGGGCAATAATTTCCTATCATTCATATACAATCTCAGCCCAAAAATGGGATGTTTGTCCCTAAAGCCACCTTCTATTGTGGTTGAGCAATATGTTGTCAGCCCCTTCCTTTAAGCAGCTGTCGTCTGTAAGCTCAAGAGTAAACTCAGACGACCTGAGCTGTTCAGGTCACCAGCTCTTGTGGGTTACCAGAAAGAGGGCTGTTGAGCCACCCTTGCTCTCTCGGGAAGCTTGCACCTACATGTGCATCCTATACAGGTCATACTGCACCCTAGCCTCCAAAACGCCAGAAAAAATCCCATTGCACAACAGGTAAGGAACTCGCATCACTACTGCTCTATTGGTGGCTCTTATAAGGCTGTATCTCATGGAAGACCTACTCATCTACTCCATCCTTGACAAAGGAGGATTTTTAGATGGAGCAGAGTAAGACAGAGCCCCTGAAGAAACAGTGTCATGAACCAGAAGATTTTGTTGACTTAGTCATTAAGAAAAGCATTTCCCCAGGACAAAACCATGTTCTGAAAAGAACATCAGGAGAGCAGGGGTCTTCCACCACCTTCACCTCTCATTTTCATCCAAACACATTCAACGAAACCAAGGCTGTGTTGGAGGAGCAGAGAAAGATGGGGAAACCTCCTATTGTTTTGCCAGCATGAAAATTCAAGCCAGCGCTTTTTGTCACCACTTCCTTGCTAATCCCCAAGCTTCTCCTCCTCTCTGTTCTTGTGTTTGCAAATGCCAAGGAAGCTCAGCCTCAAAGGAAAAGAGCAATAAGCACATCTCCTCACCGAACCACATCACTTGGCGCGGCATGGTTGGCCCGCGGCAGGAGGTGAGCCGAAAGCCAACGTCTCGGTGCTGCAGCACGTCGGCATGTGGGGCTGGGAGGTGTTTGGCTTCGGGTCAAGGAGACAAGCGTTCCCAGCAGGGTTTGAACAAACACACCTACTCACTGCCAGGTGTGCTGCCATAAACACTTCCGCTGGATGCACCCCGATAGTCACCATCTTGACTGACAGTCCTGCTACAGCCAGCAGTGCCTGGCAGGGATTGATGCAGCCCTTTGATAAGGATCTCTGGGCATTTCACCAAAGCCTAAAGAAAAAGCCCATGTGAGTCAGCAGAAAGGTATGACCACAAAGGGCCTCTGGATATGATTTGTTGACTTTCACCCACCAAACGAACAAGGGGGATTTTTTATTGTCTCTAATGAGTTTTGGATCAAGGTTTAATCACAAGGAAAAGAAAATAAATAATGTAGATTATAAAAGGCTCTCCTCCCCCTAGCTCCATTTTTTAACATGATTTAAGAGTGCCCAAGGGGAAAACATTTAATCCAAAACCCATTTGGGATTTGTATTTTAGGAACGTAGAGGAAAGCTATGAGATGCAGCATGTTTTGAGCTTCTAGCAATTCAAAAACAGGTTTTCAAAGGCAAAGTGAACATGAATTCCTTTAGCCAGTGCAGAAGAAATACCTGCATATCCTGTGCACCACCATACAGAGTCAACAAGATATAAGAGATAATAAAGCCATTATCCCATATTATGCATGAGAATGCACTTATAACACAGATCTATCAATGACAACTACTTAATTTTCTGGAAGTTAACTCAGAGAAATCTCAATACAGGAGTATCAAGGCTAGCAAATTAAAAATCATCATGCTTCCCGAGAAGCTGTGACACACTTGTGACTTCAGCCCACACAAAATGATTGTGATAAATTAATTGCAAATCTAGCCACCTGGTGTAACTGTATGGCCTAAACAAATGACTCGGTGTGCTCCCAAAGCAGCAAGGGCAGCAACTTGTTGAATGCTGCAAAGTTTTATGATGTAAAGAAAATTGAAAACAAAAGCAAACTGGAGATCAAAGATGACCCTGAGGTTGATGGACTCTAGCATCCATACAAAACAAGACTCCAAAGGACCTGGAGGGGTCATCCAGTCCATCTGCCTCCTCCAGGCCAGGGTCTGACTCCCCTGCACTGTCCCGCAAGGACCACAGAGAAGAAACCCCTTGAAAGACTTTGCAAGTGTTCAGTCACAAAGAGCTCTTTTCTCCTCTGGTATGATTGCTATAATGGAATACAACACTCCAGACCCCAAAGGATTCCTGGCTGTGCATGCAAAAATGAAGCTTTGCGAGGGGAGGAGGCTGCCACACTCCCATTGCTCATCTAACCCGTTTGCATCAGGAGCACGTTCATGTTAGCATCCAACACAGGAGACAGAAGAACACCACCGATGCCCCCAGGTCAGGGTAGAAAGGTCAAGTGAGGTAAGCAGAAGATGAGATGACAGATAGTAAAGACACTGAAATGTTGCTATTGGAATGCCGGATTTCTTTAGGAATTCACAGTGTCACAGTGACATCAGTTGAAATGAGGAGACATACAATTTTTGTTGGGCTTAACTGAAAGCCCATTGCTGTGGATAAGGAGTTCTGCTGCTGGGTTTGTGTGAAGCCCTACACAAAGTATCCTGAGCTTAGATTAACAGGGGAAATCCAACTTCACAGGACTGAGATCAGTATGACAACAAATATATAGTATGTATATATTTTTATATATAGTATGGTTTTCTTAGTATGACAAAAAATATATGTAATATTAGTTACAGAGCAGCACATCTTTTGCACCCTGACCTTCAGTGGTTCTGATCTCACTAACGTTCTACGGCCTACAAGCTGGAAAATATTTACATATTAGGATAGTTTCAGCAACACATACGATGGCCCTTGGCAGGAGCAGAGCAAATGAAACCCTCACTGAAACCAGGGACAAAGATCCCTTTGACTTCCCAGTTGCCTGCCAAGAATATCCCCAGCTGTGGCATCCCACAGCACCTCCTGGACTACTGCAGATAATCCCCTCTTATAATTTTTATTATTCCTGGAGTTTTTCTTCCACACTGACACATGCTTTATTGACAAAGGAAAAGACCTAAGGAGCGTATAACTTTTAATGCCCTATAGGGACAGGCTGTATTTTTATGTGGCATTTATGTGGTTTGGATCAAAAAGCAATGAGGCAACTGGTTTTGAAATCAGAAAAATGACTATGTTGCCTTAAAAAGTGTACTTTCTTTTTGTTAAAAATGCATTTACTTCTCTTTATTGTTTTCCAGTTTTTGTCTTCTGAGGGTACAAGAAGAGTTGACTAGAGATATCTAGCCAGTATAAAGATGCATTGTCCCAAACAGAGAATATTTATCTTGGGTTTTAACTTGGTCTATATTTACCTCCTGGGTCAATATGGATGAGCACTGACCTCAACCACAAGTCAGAACGGGTTTCTGCTGGCAACTCACTATAACATGCTTTGAATTAAGTTACTGAAGCTTTCCTTTTTCCCTGCAGTGCAAACTTGGGAGGAGCTGTGAGTAAATCAGAACAGTGGAGTTAGAGCTTGAAATCACTTCAGAAACAACTGGAAACACTTCATGCCAGAAACAAGCTCAAATTGCTTCACTACCTGTTGACGGTTTTACAGAGACACTATTTTGAGAGGGTGTGATCATAATTCAGCCCAATAAAGAAAGATATTCCCTATTTCTTGGCATCAGTTATCAGCATCACATATAGTGGCAGGGTAGGGACACTCTCAGGTTCAAAGATGCCCCTGCAGAGGCTCTGTCCACTGCAAAGAGGAGGCAGAGGTGCAGGTAGGGACCTAACTGCTCTGTGGCTGGCATTTTGCATCAGCTCTAGGGGAACACAGCCCATCCCAGAGGAAGGACAGCAGGTTACACTGAACAAGGCAACCGGGATTTGAACAAAAGGACTTACATTTTCCGGCTGGTGGGAAGAGCATTGCTGTGAAGTGTATGTGCAGTGACACCAAAAGCTGTGATACAACTGCCTGCAGATTCACAGCTTTGGGCTTGCTGACCCGTGTAGACTACCTAGTCCTGTGGTCCAGAGTCATCATCTGTGTAATGCAATCATGATCCAATCTTCCCATACAATCTGGATCAGAAGGAGCTCTCGGGATGGTTAACACAAGGTCTTCCATAGTAGTAAATCAAGCTCAAAAACACATGACAGTAGTTAAATAGAAGAAAATCTGGGAATTTATTTTTTTTTAAATATTGGCTTTTACAGTTTATGCCTTTGGGCACTTTTTGGTTATTTTCTAAGAGATTTTTCTAAGACAGCCTAGGTATTTTTACAATGAACATTGAGATTTTCATGTAATTGTTTACCCCCAGTTACAGAAGCTTTAAAGGAAAGACTTTATGAACATGCAAAATGAATGTTGCATGATTCATAAGAAAGGCACCAGAGCTGTCAAGAC